GATGAAAGTCAAAGTTGTGAAACATTCACTCATTTTTGCTCGGTACTGTATGTATAAACATAGGACCCATATGCATGCATATTGACAGCTTGGATGTTTTGATACATATATAAAATACATACATATATACGCTTTTATTTATAACAGATTTATTACCACATCCAATTGTGACCTGTTTTAAATTTCAATTCTATATCTAATAACTTTGTTGTTCTTTTTTATATAAGCAGTTATTCTCATAGTTACGGCCCGTCAACATAATCGCGACCTCCAACATTTATGCGACCCTCAGCAGCTGTTACCGAGAAGCCCAGTATACGAGCATCCAATTTGGTCATCTTATTTTTCTTAACTTTCCTTTGCTTGTTCTGCAAGTAGACACACAAACAATAATTTTTAAAGATGTATATAAATGTCGAACACACATCGTATTACCTTGTTGTCTCCATTATCATTGCACGATGGCGTTATAGCTGGAGCCGGCTTACACATATCATCGTTATGTGCATTTTGGGCACGCTGCAAGCTTTTATATTTGCTACGTCGCTCCAAAAATTGCTTTGCGAATTCTGATGACTCTTTGCCTTCGCCTGAACAATATATAAAACCGAATATATATAATACTTGATAGTTAAGTTATGATCGTCATTTTCATTCGATTCATTCGACTTTATTTGTGGATCCAGTGGACTCTGGCTTTCTTGTAAAAATCAATAAAATAAGAAGTAAAATTGATCTATTCGACACTGCTCGACTAGGGATATTCTGAAGCAATGACTTGATTCAATAATAGTATTAAAATTTAGCTTAAAAAATAAAAAAAATGAATTTATATACTATCTAAGGTGTAATGGTTTTGTTAAATGTATGTAACAGGCATAAGGGAGCGTGGCAGACTCCACAAAGATATATTCAGCAATTAGCTGAGTCGATTTAGCCCTGTCCAGCTGTCTGTCCGCCCGTTTGTCCGTATGTATGAACGCGTCGATCTCAGAAGAACTAGAGACTTACAATTTTTTAAATATATTTTTAAATTTCCTTATATAGCATATCGATTTTATTTCCAAATCTCGATAACTCATACCGGTATTTGTTTATCGATTAAAAACCTCATCGAAAACTAGTTAATTATATCTTCTACACCTTTCAATGTAATGATCACGAGGGTTTCATGGAGATAGTCCACCGACAAGAAAAGTTTTTTAATAATTAAATTCTCATAGTCAGTCCATGCCATATGTTTCAAATAGCATTCGTCGTATCAAATGTGTTTATACAAGGGACAATCAGGCAAATGACATTGCATAAAATGAATACATTCTATTCACATCGCGAACGAGTATAGAAATAAGAACATACCTAGATATATGCGTACATAATCTTTAACTTCATATGGCGCTTCCAGGTCTTGCAGAAAGGAAACAAATGTTGGTACTGTCAATGGAATAGATATTCATTATAATCTATATATAAATATAAGGTTCCTCTTACCATCCACTTTAGCAGACATATTTTCTAGGCTCTTCATACACCAGGAAGTAAACTCACTCTCATACTCATTTACTTTGCTGTTTGAGCCGTCGCCGCTCGGCTGCTGCGCAGTCGACTTGACAACCGACTTTCTCTCCTCACTGACTGATAACTTGATAGCTGCTTTACTTGAAACCGTTTTATTTTTATCCGACTGATGTGAGTTCTGCCCAGTTGAAGCTTTGACATTTTTTGATATTACATTCTGCATTGTCGGCAATGTTTGGCTCTTACGCAAATTTCGAGGCGATGACAATGCTATGCCACCGGCTGTTGACTTCAGCTGTGTTTGCGACTGCGGTTTGCTGGTTGATGCTACGGCTACTGGCAAGCCGGCGGCAAGCACTGAGGCGGCAGTTGGTGGCACGTACTTCTTATTGGTGGCCCCTGGTTGAACAGGCTTTGGCTCGTCCCACAGGCCGGGGGCGATTGGAGCTGGACTACCAGTAGCATTCCATGCCTTGTTGGCACTGCCCCAAATATTTGATAGTCCACTACCACCAGAAACGGTCAGATTGGCAGATAACATCACTTGATGCTGCTGCTGCTGCTGCTGTTCATTATCACGACGACGCTGTTGCTCCAGCAGGTCATTGGCCAGACGCTTAGCTTCCTCGGCCTGTATGTCCACCAAGCTCATAACGGGTGTAGGTGCTGGCGATGCCTGCCATTTGAGCAACGCATCATTAGCCTCGGCTGCTGCTGCAGCTGTAGCGCGCATTTGCTTGTCCAGTTGCTCCTGCTGTCGCTGTTGATCCGCTCGCCGTTCCCGACGTTCAGCTTTCTGAATTTCAGCTAATCCTGGTGCGATATTGTTCGCGCTGGGCGTTTGCAAAGACCATGGGGCAATGGACGCAGCATGCGATGAACGATTTCCTTGGTCTATCTTTAAGCCGCTTGCCTTATTTCCTGTCGCAGCTAAAATATATATGGGTTAGCTTTAAATGTTTTTATTTAAGTTATCCAAATTTGAGGAAGGTGTATACTATATACAAGAATAGATTATTGCATTTATAGTCACATAAATATGAGCATGTGTAGTAAACAATAAATATTTGAATCTAAACTCCTTTTTACACATTCTCGTTAGCGGGTTATAGTTTTGAATATTACTGAACAAATTACAAAATTGATGTTTTTGATGTATCGAACGTATCGATTAAAGCTTGAACTATCACTTATGTATTTCTTACCTGAAGAGCTAGTGGTAGCTTGAGGATTATTGCTAAACAAAGCCTTGCGGCGTTGAGCTTGTATTTGCTGTTGGCGTTCCTTTTCCTCTTGCTGTTGTCTATTCTTTTCCTCTTCGGCTATCAAGGCACGTCTCTTTTCTTCCTCTTGCTGTTGACGCTTACGTTCTTCCTTGATGCGACGCTTCTCTTCCACATGCTCTCGGCGGCGCTCCTCATCGCCTATTTTCAGCTCCGGCTGTTTTCCTTGTTTTTGACTAGCCGTCTGTTGTTGCTGCTGTTTGTTGACTTGTTGCTTGCCAGCAATTGTTTGGGCTGACAGTTGATCTTTGTTGTGTGTAGGGATGCTGTCCAGTGCTATTGGCTGCTCTTGGAGTTCTATTTGCTGCTCAATCTTTAGGTTGCATTGATCGTCCTTGCATTGCTGCTGCTGCTGTTGCAGTTGCTGTGCTGCATCGAAATTCAGGTGCTCAGTTGCTGTGCATCTGCTGTTGCCATCTTGACTAGGAAGATGTCGCTTTTGTTGCTGGAGTAATAGTTGCTGGCTCTGTTCCTCCTCCAAGGTAGCAACGTCCCATAATTTTGCGTTTTCCATGGCTGGCCACGACGATTGCGCAGACTGCTGTTGCTGATGGGGCCATATGGGAATCATAAGATTTTGAGCCAAGATCTGCGACTCTGTTATAAAATCCACAGTGGAGCTTGGCTTGATCAACGGAGATGACTGTTGCTGCTGTTGACTGACAGCAGATGCTGTTGGCGGACCTCGCAACAACATTCGCAAGTTGTATTCGTTTAAAATGTCCAGATCATTGGCGTGCAGTTCATTCAATTTGCTCGTGTCCGAATCAGAGGCAAATTGATGCTGCACCTGTTCGAGATTAATTGGCTGTGGATTCTGTCCCTGGGTCTGTTGATGCATCAATTGTGCATTCAATATAAAATCATCAGCATCCAAAAAGTTGCCCTCCGGACGCCGTTCAGCGTCGACTGGATACATCTGGTGTTGATCTTTTTTAGCCTGCTGGGCGATTGCATCATACAATTGGTTGCCGGCAATGGGGTTTAAAGCTGCTAGCGAATTGCTTAAGCCACTAAAACTACTCAAATATTCTGGGAGAACCAACATCTGAACCTTGCTACGGACAATGGCTTCACGCTGAGCAGGATCCAGACGCTGAAAACAATCGCTTTTCGATAGCTCAGATAGTATTTGATACTCCTGGTGCTGTAAGTATTGATCTTGTAACATTTGGAAACGCATGGTTAGCAAGTGGGATGTGTCCATTGTGTGTGCGCTCATATGTCCTTTTACTGCCGCACTCAAAGAATCTGCAGCTGCCGTAACATTAGCTTTCAATTGCTCGTCATTGCCAGGGCGAAGATGCTGGTGCTGCTGTTGATGTTCGTTATGTGATAAGGGCAATGCAAGCATCGCAGGTTTGCGGGTTGTCAGATTAATTTGTAAATTATCCAACTCAATGGGTGTGGGTAGAAGATGGTTGTGCGTAAACGGCATATTGCCATGACACAGCTTAATCAGATCACCAAGTGGCCTAAAACGAGTATCCGAAATGCGGCGTACATACAGGTTCTCATTAAAGTAGCCGGCACGATACCATTCTGTCATCTCAATGGCACTAAACGGGCCCTGTACATTCGACTGTGGATCGCGATAAAACCATAATTCGCTCGGACTTGCACTCATCACATGTGGGAGCACGGGTATATGGTGGGGTTGCAAATGATGCTGTTGTAAATGAAGCTGTTGCTGTTGTTGCTGGATGGCAAGCTGGTCGTTGAACGGTTTATGGGACAATTCAGTTGCAATGATTGCAGTCGATACTGGGTCAGGAGCAACGAGTTGGTGATGAAGTTGACCGGGCTCAACAATTGATCCCACCATTCCATACCTCTTGCTATCACCTACAATACTTGTTTTACTGCTATTGACAGCATCAACTTGACCACTATCATCATCCATAATTAGTTTCTCAACCTCATCGGCTACCTCTTTGAAGCGTTCCGAAATATCACTGTGACCAACTGCCTCCGCTTTGTGCGTGGGCGTTGATTCAGCTGTGTCCGATCTTACGTCTAATTCGTTACTACTGCTATTGCTATTGTTGGTGATAACGGATTCGTTTGCATTGGTGGCATTGCTTAGAGTGCTATTTGTTGTTGAGCTTACAGATTGCGCTTCAATACGCGCTGACCTTCCCTGCTCGGTACGGTTTTCGGTTTGAATTAATTGCCCACTTTCTATCGAGGTAGCTTCTGCAAAACTATTGGAATCATTCGCATCCATGGCCTTTTTGTGTGTCGAGTCAGTACTATTTGTCTTGCCTGGCTTGGTATCCATCAATTCGCCATGGAAAGCACCAGTCGAATCGAATGTGCCACCCATTTCCGACGGATTCTCCATTGCCCATTCTGGCAAATTATCTTCACCATCGTGATTCGTTGAGCAACCGCTTCCAGACCACGGCTGATTTGCTTTGGAGCCCATCGAACGATTAGAGCTTGGTCCACCTGGCCCAGCTGACCCAATCTGTGATTTAACGGCGCTCGTTCGCTCATTAGAGACTGTTCCAATCACCGAAACGGATCGTTGTATATTAGCTATGCCCGGATTGCCAACGAAGGAATTGCTATCCATATTCCCAGACTGCATTGGTTCCTCTTCGCGCCAGCTGGTTGAACGTCCTTAAATTTATAATTTGATATGAGGATGAAAATGTTCATTGGTTATTAATTAGTTTAGGCTTACCCCACCGGTGGGCGCCTGCACTGCGCCATCCAGCTACTTCCGTGCCTAATGTTCCGCCAGAATTTGGTCCGTCGCCAGAGCCATCTTCGTTTCGATTTCTGCGCCAATTTTCCATGTTACGGCATTGGCTTGAGAAGTCCTTTCGTGGACTAGAGTTCGGTGTACCGTTCCAGTCTACCCCGGGGCCCCCACCAACGCTGCCACCACTACTTCCAGTGGCGGTACCAATAGCCGCTGAATCCCCAGTACCATTCCGCTCGCCCCAGTTTCGATCTGGCTGCGAGTAGCACATACAATATACGTTAGAAAATCAGTGGTCACAGCAGCTGATAAAAATTTTGGGTTTTACCTTCATTGATATAGCCGATATGCTGTCATCGTAAATGGTGCTTGATCTCTGGTATATTGAGTGATAAACCGATTTCCCTCGCATCCGGCCACGATCTACGATTCCACCCCGACCTGAGCCTCGAGATGGTATACCAAACGCTCCCGGTGAACGTTGTAACCAGGCAGGGCGTGACTGTGGAACATTAATTATCACCGGACACCGCACATTTATTTCTTTCACACTTACGCTACTGCTCAGCTGACTTTGACTATTTGGTTCCTCTTCAGAGCTCGGCGTTAGAGCAAGCGGATACTGTACTTTTTCAATAAACAATTTTTTGAACGATGGCAAAATCTGAGGCAGAAGGCAATTTCGATCAAATAACGATAACATCTCCTCCCGACCGTAACGGTACTCCGGAAACATATTACGATTGGCAGATGTATGGCTTGGATTGGCCACCATATTGACTCCACCGCCAACTCCAGCTCCTCCGCTATTACCACTACCCAGGCTGTGTAATGAAAGGCCACTGTTTGACCCGCCACCCGCAGTGGCAGATAGATTATTGGCTCCAATGCTCGAGGGCTCCGCCGACATATTGCGCAACCACTCAGGTCCGAATTTCATTGAGTCTGTCATTTTCGGCAACTCTTGAGTGTTGATTCCTTTAATAGTCTGTCACTGAAATGTTAAATACATTTGGATCATGAGCATTGGCTAGCAGACACACGCTCTATCGCTTATATATATATATATATATATATATATATATATATATATATATATATATATATACATATATATATATATATATATATATATATATATATATATATATATATATATATATAGTTTATAGTCATATATAACCGAACTAGAAAGACTGATATATGTAAATATATACAAATATTTAAACTCGCAAACATGCACACGTTTAAAAAAAAAAAGATATATATATACTTTTTTTTAATAAACGTGTGCATGTTTGCGAAAAATTGGAACAATAACATCAGCGGAATTAGAACAAGGAAACATAACCTATAAAATGAATATTATTCCACATGAAGTTTACATGGAAAACAGACCTCATCTAATCTACAAAACTTAGCTTAGACATATTACAGTTACAGTTAAATATAAATGTATATTTTTTCACCTATTTAATATGTTAAATGTGAATTTATATTCAGAACTAGTTTTGCACTAAGTAACTATGTGTACATATACTCATAAATTTTAATGTTCACCAAATATAGTACTTTTATCCACATTATGTCGTTATTTAGGTCTTTGTTTAGTTGTAACGAGTTGGCAGTCCTTTCCCAAGATACTATTAGCACCGTGGCACACATGTACACACATCTATCTGTACATAATATACACCCTGCCATACAAAATTGTACTTATCCCAAATGTCTATTTCTCTGTTCCTTAAAGCTCCTTTCAACAGACGACGTTTTTCAATTAGCTCTCAAAGTTTTACTATAATCGACAGCTTCAAATAAAGCTATTATTTTTTGTACTTTTAAGAATTTTACAGTATTAATGGTTGTGTTGGCACTCACATATGGTGTATGTACGCAAGTGTTGTGTATGTAAATCTGAGATGAGCGTTACCCAAATACGTGTTATCTGTAAAGAGTATATTAGTCTTTAATTATCGAAATCACAGGATTAACAACGATACTTAAAAAATATCGATAGATTATCGCTAATACAACACAATGTTACCATGCTTCCAACACTGACCAGAGTAAACATATACTAAAAGACTGATGAACTTCGTATTTGTTCGGCCTATCTCTTGAGGCTCGCGCAGTGCTGCCACCATTTTTTTTTAGCTAAAATTGCTAGATTTTGGCAGAAAAGTTGCCGAAAATAGCTTAAAAAAATTGTAAAATAGCCAACAAAAATTGATAAACCTATTTTTTAATTTTTGAAAAAATTAAGATATACAAAAATAAAAGTCTAAATTCAAAAACTTCTAAATTAATAACGAACGTGGTCTTAAGAAATTCAGCTTTCATGAGCATTGGAATACATTGGAATACAGAATACTTAAAATACTATCTAGTACGTCAGCTTCTTCACATACATAGGTGTACTTCTCGTACTGTCCTGTAATGTTAGAGAATAATTATTACAACATTTTCCGTTTTGCAATCGCCGTGTGTTCATTCTGTACTTCCTTTTTGCACATATACATACATACACATGCATCCAGACGCACGCATAAGCCCGCGCCCTGCTAACTGCGCAGTAAGCATTGACAGCGCTTGGGCTGCACTGCGCTGCAGTGTTGGCAATGTTATGATAATTTATTTGTTGAATAATTTAATCTAGTAATACGACTAATAATTTTAATCTAGACGTACAATCTTAATGAAACTGTCACAACGTAATCATAATGTTCTAATGTACATACATACATATGTACATTTTAAAGCTCAATTCTCTAGTATTTGAAATGCGTTTTTTTACAAATTAGAGCGCAAGGGGCTTGGTACCCAAAATCTGTAAATTACAAAATGTTTGTATTCATCATATGTATATACACAGGAAATCTGAAGTCTCTAGATCTAATAGTGTTCAAATGGGGCTGAAAAAACAAAATCGATTTTTCGATTATTCTCGATAAAAAAGTTATCGGATGAGTTATAGAAAAAATAAAGCAAACTCGTACTGCATATATACATATATACACGCGTATACACGAGTATGCACGCAAAATTTCTCTAGCTTTTGTATCTTCTGAGATCGACGCACTCATACAGATGGACGGACGGACAGACGGATAGACGGACAGGGCTATATCGACTCAGCTCGATCAGCTGATCAAGAATATATATACTTTGTGGGGTCTGAGATGATTCCTTCTGCTCGTTACATACTTTTATACAAAACCATTATCAGATTGGAGGGTATCTCCTAGTCGAGCAGTCTCAACTAGAGCCTTCTTACTTGTTACTATATACGACTGTGCGCTGTGTCCTACTCTCTCTGACCCTACCTCTTCTCTCTCTGTCTATGGTCACTCAAATCATCCAACTCAGCAGCGCACAAAAATTGAAATTTGTCCACGACGATCCCAGCTCTTGCCTTTTGAATGTAAAGTATACCAAAATCTTAGTAGCGTCTGCCACGCTCATACAAAATCTTAGTGTTCTCATGATTATTTCTAGAAAGGGTATGAAAACGTAAGGCGCATAAAGAATATGCTTTGGCGACGTGCATGCACACACACATTTGCACACTTAGTATATGTATGTAATTGTATGACAGTGTGCGAGGCTCTGTGCAGATTGTAAGGCCCAAAAAACTGTCATATCCACTTCACACAAATGGACTATGTATGTATGAGCATCTATATATACAGTGGGCCAAAAAAGTATTGGCACACTTGAAAAATCAAACTTCTAAGAGCTGTAACTTTTCTTTGAACACAGCTATAAATAAATTTAAAAATTACATACATATGTATGCAAATTTACATATGCATATATTATTATAGCTAATAATGTTTATAAATGTGTGTGTATCCATAAAAAACTATAATTATTTAATACATGATATACTAATGCCAATACTTTGTGGCACTGTGACCGGTGAGTAACTCATACAGTATAGTGACTGGCGGGTAACTCGAGCTTAAATTTAAGCACCTGATTTCATTTCAATGATCGTGGGTTGCCTATCAGAAGGAATTTCATACAAGTAAGAACGTTGCTGTCGGGCGTTACCGACTGCGGAATACTCATTCACAGCCAATCAGCAATTTACTATGTAGCTAAGTTTTGCTCTAATACTGTAGAAAGTACAGATTTTCTCGATTTGCTCCGCCTCTAAAAGGCGTAGATATATAATCATAACATTAGCTCACGTGCAAAATTTTAACGTTCTAGCTTAAAAACTCTAGGAGATACAGTTTTATCCGATTTGTCACGCCCTTATGGGCGTAGACATATCCGCCATAGCACGTCATCTTGTGTGGTCGATGCGGATCTACATTCCAAATTTCAGCTTTCTAGCTCTTCAGCTAACATGATTTGCCATTTTCCAATTAGCTATGCCCTATTGGACGGATCGGGAAAATTTTAACACTTTTTAAATCGGAGATATACACGACTATGTGTTCCAAATTTCAAGTCTCTAGCATCACTTTCGTGAATGAGTATACAAAAGTACCTGAATGAGTATACAAAGTAGCTCAGTATACAAAAAGGGGATGCGATTGTCGACCCTTGCACCTGTTCATATACATACATGCATATACAGGAGCATGTAAGTAAAAAACTTATAGAAAGTATTGGCAAGTGCACTTGTCACTTTAGTTAATCAGCTACTAAAAATATAAGCACGCCTCTTCAATTCAAACCCAAAATAGTTCCCACAATGAGGTTAGCACACGCATATGTTCATCTCCCATGCATACACACATGCACCTAAATCACATAAGCATACAAATGCTTCTAAAAGTGATCTCCCATTATTATAAGCATCGCAGGCTGCAATTCGCAGCCCATGCGTACACACAATCAAATGTATATACATACATACGTATGTATGTATGTGAGCACCTCACAAGATCGCCCAACTGCAAATGCTGGGCTTTAAAATTGCTACAGTAAACAAGAGCTTCCCACACAGGCATAGAAATACTCGTAATAGAAGAAATTTCAAATTTCGTGAGCTGCTGCTTGTGATCACATGCATACACACATATACACATTTTGCTCTCTCAGAGCATCGAGAGAGATAGCAAGGGAGCTCAATGTTTGAGCATAAATGAATCTTTTGTTCAACCATCGACCATCTCGGTCGAGCGCATGAAGCGAAATGATTGCGCTTTCGTATATTTTTGTAGTTAGACCCTAAAAGTGAAGAGCCGAGCAAATACGAAGTTGACTGGGGGATTACTCTCGAAAATAAGTGTGCAAAACGCTTTACACTACGTGACCGGTGTATGTGCTCTCTGGTTAGTGGTTTTATTAATTAGGATTATGATAGAATGCGAAGACTGGCCATCTGCTTTTGAGATTCGAAATTATATTTCTAAAACTTAAATTTTCGCATAAGAAGATTTACAATTCTTAAAATACCGAAAACCGTATAAACATAAAAATCATCGATAATAGAACAATTTCGCTTGAAATTTATTTATCGATGATACGTCGATACGTTATTTCCAGCTCTAATAGTGATGCATTGATATGCATTTACACATCTCCATATCAGAAAATGGCGTATTGTGTTAAAAGTTTTTAAAAAAAGGTAGATGGTTTGATTGACACGGTTCCTATAAACACAAAAAGGCAACAGGTGTGTTAAATTAATATTATAGTTAAATAATTATTAATGTTATTTGCAAAGGTGAACAAATACACAATTTTATGTGAAAGCGTATACACGAATGAATTCGTTGTGTGTTTGTGTGCGTTTTGATATGTAGTGACTAAAAATTTGTTTTTTTTTGTTAGTATTTAGATATTTTAGATGACACTAAAACAAAAGAATGTGCATGTGTTACATTGTTACAATGTTACATATGACACAAATATTTGATTTTAAAAGTTATTTAGTCTTAATCCTACGCACATACACACACACACACACACCCAAACACACACACACACACACACACACACACACACACACACACACACACACACACACATACACACACACATACACACACACCCACACCCACACACCCAAACACACACACATATATATATATGTATATATGGGAATTTGGAATAGTGTATATATACATTTTATATAGTAGACATATTTGTATATTTTAGGTCTTATTAAGAGTTTATGAAATGTTACTAACTTAACACATAAATTAATTGATTTTAGATATATATCTTGGTGTAGCTACATCAATTACGCTTTGACTCTTTGCAGCTAATGAAAGTTCGGACCGTACAATACTTTTAAGTTATATTTGCCTCCTTTTGGATCAGGCACGCTTTGTTATCTGGCATAAATGAATCAAACCCAGATTCAGCAATTGACCTCACACCTATCGCAGGCACTTGATCAAAACTATGATGTAAGTACAATTATTGCATTCAAGGATTTCAATTACTATTTAAACAACATATGCATACGTACTCATAATTGCAATTAACTAAATAATTTAAGGTCGTTAATATGGAGACAGTTCTCTCTGTCATTTGTGCATTGGAAGGTACAACGATTACGAAAGAGCAATTGGAAGCCACCAGATTGGCAAAGTACATAAATCAACTTCGACGTAGAACTAAAAATGATCAGTTAGCACGTCGGGCCAAATCGCTTTTAAAGAAATGGCGTGAAATGGTGGGAATCCATCAGCAGACATCAATTGATTCTCAGTCGCAACACGTGGATCAATCAACATATAAACCGATGGTGGAAACTAACCTAACAGAATCCGAATCGAACACAACAGAAGCAGGCTTCAACCCACCCCAGCCTTTTTCCCCGACATTACAGCGTGTTATCTCTCATTTGCACTCAAATATTGATTCCTCTGAACCAAAACTTGATCATCAAACCAACTTATCAAGCTTGATAAACAATAATATTAACAATGACAATAGTGAAGAATCGTTGACAATCGTTAACAAACTGTTTATTCAACAACCAAAATCAAGCGAATTCAAAACTCAAAAATCATCGACGATTATAAGTGAACATGTGGCGAACGATAAATTGAATCAGGCCTCTATTGTAATTGATATTGTCTCAGACTCTGATGAGAACGATGCAACCAACAGTCAAAAAAAGCTAGAAAGAGAATCATTAGCAACTTCCAGCCATTACTTCAGGCCCAAGAAGCTAAAAAAGGATAAGAAAGGCAAGGATAGGGATAGTCGAGATAAACCTTCTTTATTCAATTTGAAAGGCGAAACTTCACAACAGTCTAGAAATTCAAAAAAGTCAAATTTACATCGCTCGCTGAAGGAATCAAAAACGCCAAAAGTATATTCAGCAGATCCTGGTAAGAATAAATCCTGTAACATATTTAAGACGGAATAATTGTCTTTTTAATCATTTACAGAAATTTTATCATTGTCGAATAGCTCGATGAGCTCAATCCTATCTGGAGATGCCGTTTCGGGAAACTTTCAAACTCGACCTCATCCTTCGGCAGCAGATTTGACATTTGCGGGCAGATTTAAGTCCGCCGGTCGACTAGAAACTTTTAGTAATATAAATTCCTTGCAAGCGAATGGTCAGAAATCTACTGCTAGTGCTATTGACACAAGCAGCGAGGTGCCAACACGTCCAATTTGTGAAGAGAATAATGATTCAAATACCTCATGTAGTCGATTATCGCCGTATGATGAGCTTGAGCCGAAGTTCGATCAAATTCGCTTAAAGTCATGTGAAGAAAGAAGTAAGCAGTCATGTGAAGAAAGAAGTAAGCAGTATTTTGTAATACCTGAATATAATTTAAATTTCATAAAAATATTTTGTCTTAAGTTCCAAAAAAACGTGGCCGCAAAAAGGGATCCAAAGGTGTAGATTCACTAATTGCAAAGGAATCAAGTCTATCGCAGCAAATATTCTTTGGATCTGGTGTAAAAAAAGTAAAAACCACTAAAGAACTGTTTAATGAGATACAAAGTAGGAAGTTAAGTACTTCATTCAACCGCAGTGAGAACACAATAACAGCGCCATCAGTAACGAATAGAGTGTTAAATACTAGTTCAACTAATGTTCGAAATTCGGACTGTCGGTTTTTGCATACGAGACCGGCGTCATCTTGTTCAGGTTTGATACATCCAGATTATATTTTTTATATTATATTATCTCTATACATTTATTAATATAACACTAACACTTTTAGAAACATCAATCCACTCTCCGCATGCTTTAGAACCATTCTCATCAAATGTTTCTCTAGCAGGAACCGAAAAACATTCAAATACACTGGAAGGTAAGTTGCATATTTAAGGAAGTAACTTTATGTTCTATATATAACTATAACTGAGTGGTGCAGGATTTATTTTTATTGTTTTGTCTTAGTGATACAAATTCGATGAAGTACTCAATCAAATGGGTGATAATTAGTCAAGTAGGTATTAGTTTTGCTAAAACATTCTGAAGGAAGCTCCATGGCAATTTTCATTTAGTAATTATGGAGGTTTTCTCAATAAGAAACTATATATCATTATCATTATATTTGCTTATGTGTGTCATGATTGGAACTATAAATGTAGATATCCTAAATTGTGTTATTATTTTATAGGGCACAAAAATATTGCACTAATTTTTATATATTTAATTTTTTTTTTATTGTAATCGCTAATTTAACATCTAATTGTATTTTATTTGCAGACCCTGGAAATACAGATAGTGATACGGTTACATCAGAGCATTCACGAGACAGCAAACCTCGAAATATGAGAATACACTCATTGGATAGTAACAGCAATTTGCATCAGCATGCATCATCGGCCAAAAATGGGGAAGATATAGAATTAAAAACGGATTATAATGATGTTAGAACCCAATTAATGCATATTGTACGCAGTTTAAGTAGTCCGCTTACTGTTGACGAGACTGAAAAGCGATATCAGGCTGAAATCGTGCCATGCACTTGCATAATTTTTGAAGACATGCCAAACGAATCATATGAACATAAAAAGCTCAGTGAAATCGATAGAGAATCAGATTTGGTAAAAAAAGGTTCGTTTGATATTGATATTTCTCGCGATAATGAGCAAACAGCTTTAAAAACTGAAAACTGTGTCGTTGACGCTGCTGAGCAGACTATTGCTAAAAAGCCAATGAAATCGATTTTTGATTTAGACTTTGATGATGACGACGATCCCTTGCTTACGATTATTAAACATGTTTTACCAACAGAGTCGAGCGTGAAAACGAAACTTGATTTTGATGTTAATCTAACGGAATCTAACGTTAGCTTAGCTGAAGAAGATATCAATAAAGACATGAAAGCAGCAATTACGGATAGTCTTTCGGCAGATCAGGAGTCCAGCAATATAATAGCAGAGCCTATATCTATCTATACTGTACGCGAAGATCCCAAATGCATTGCAAGGCAAAGGTTTGATGTTCAAACGAATGATGTTACCAATTTTCATATAAATGCATTACATAACTATTACATACCAAACATTAATGGAAACTGGAATAGCATTGACTCGTCGTTAGTGTCATTGTCAGTAACGGAATTTTTGCAGACTTTGGAGTCCTATACAGTTACCGATGGATCTGATGTGGTGCCTAAATATGGATCCCTCACATACGAGCAACGGATACGTAAGGACCTGAGCTATCTAAAATTCGTTCAGAATTCTAAATCAAAAAGTTTTAAGTCGGTTATACCGCCATTTTTGGGTGTCGCCAAGTGTTTACCAACGTGTCGTCTGGCAGCTAAAAGGCTGAAGGATAAAACGAAATCTCTACCAACAATAAACAGTGCTAATAAGTTAGGAAAACAGGAAAAGTCTGAAATGAATTGTATTAGTAGTGGTCCCAATCTGCTAAGAGTTGACGTCACTATAAATGATACACAAAAAAACAATGAAAGTCAAGTTCGACATTCTGATGATGATCTAATAAAACGTAACGCTGCACTTAGTTACAATCTGTTGAAAGTGGTTACCGATAATGGTGAGAATCCTGAAAATTTACAAAAATCAGATGATTTAAATATTGAATGTACAAATATGAAGTTCAGGCGCTATAAAAGCAGAAGTTCTAATTTACAATTGACACAAGACTCATTAAATGAAAAATTACGAAATCAAAAGGCAGAAGATACAGAGAAATCAGAGTGGTCTGAAAGTAATATCGAACGAAATAGAAAAAAACGTAGAAAAACATATAATAGCACTCACTACGATAAACACAATATAAATAATTTAACGATAGATGAAAAACCACGTATTAAGCGCATCAAAATTGCAATCCACGGAAATGTTGCCACTCATAGCCAGGTATCGATGATCAGTGGTGGTGACATCAGCAGCGGCGATGAGGAAGGCGCTCATATAGAGATAAGCGATATGGAAGTCGGCTACGATACTATTGGATACTCTCAGTGTGCTCAGGCGGCAAGTGACGATGATCATGGGTCGAACAGAAGTCATTCAACAACCGTAGATAGCCTATTAGCAGACGATGACCATATGGAGAATGATGATGATAATAATGGTGATGACGAGGAATATGCAATCGTTCAAAGACCGTTGGCTCAAGGCTGTGCAAGTAATAATCACATTGTGCTGACAATAAAGAAAACACCGAGTAAAATTAACTCACCGGCTAACTCTATCTCAGCAATTTCTCCAATTGTTGGTGTTGTCGCCGAAGGTGAGATGTCAACTGGCAAACAACAGGACGCTGAAATAATCGCATCATTTCTCTCTATAGAACCAAAGGCTGAAACACATGGATCGGAATCAATTCCTATGCCTGACACCTGCTGCAATAATTTAGAGAAATGTTATCGGTATAGCCATCGTCGTCGTGTTCGACATCGTCAACAGATTTGCCAGAAGGAAACAATAGATATTGAACTAAATCACTTGTTCAATAATGTTCGCAGGAGTGCGCAGCCTTTGGTAAAAACACATCAAAAATTATTTTTCACAAATGAATTATGCAGACAGGATAAATCGGGACGAAATGAGCGCATCATTAATTACAGCAGTAGTAGTAGCAGTAGCAGCAGTAGTTCGAATGAGGATTATAGTGAAACCGAGGAAAGCAATTACAACCCTAGGCAAACTGATCAATGTTCAGTCGATCCTTTAAATAATTATAAATTAAAGAATGAGACTGGCCCGATAACGTCTGTAAAGTGCATTATAGCAAAACAAGATGCTGACCATCGAGATGACTTGTACTTCTATTCTAGTGATGAATCCTCGATTGATGATGAACATAATGATAATAAAGAAGGGCTGAATGATATCAAGTTGAATACGCTTAGTGAATTACCATTAGAGAACAATGGTATGCTGCCGTCTTTCAACTCTATTGGTGCCACAAATCATCCTCAGCCAAAGCTCACAACAATAGCAGATTTGAATTGTAATGATGGTAATTTATGCTATAATAATACTAACGATAATTTAAGCGTTATTCAATCACATGACTTTGACGGTGTGAGGGATGCAAGTAAAATGAATAATGTCATTAATAGTGAAAATTCAAATGGAATGATGAAAAGTACCGAAAATTATAATCAAATATTATCGCCGCAAACCATGGAATATAGGAGTGGTATTCGTAGTGTTGTTGACGATTCTAGTAGTCGAGTCCAACAATTCAAGGAGTGGCACCAAGTTCTTCAGCTTCAATCATACAATAATGAACCATTGATAGTTTTGCCATATGTTGTTCTTGAATAAACCATTTTTGAACGCCACTCTGGATACTTGAAAAATTTAATAATTATTTGGTAAGCCAGTATCGATCGGATCATAATTTACATGTGTGATAGAAAGTTACAATGAAATACTTAAACATGGCAAACCGAAAAATAATTGTAATAGGTATTATATATTGATCCTACCACTTAATATTATAAATATGTGTATGGACATCAAAATCGATTAATTTAAGCACGGGTCACTATTATAAGGAAGCTTTTCCTTTGACTTGGTTGATATTCAAATAAATTTATAATTAAAAAAAGAACAAAACAAAAAAATTTATTAAATTAAACATTTTGCTACCAATTAGTTACAAATTTGTTCATAATTAAGTGAATATAAAATATATTTTGTTACATTCTATCGTTATTTTGTTCGCATCTTTATAACATATACATAAATATATTTTTTAATGTACATATGCTCATATGTATGTAATAGAAATGAAGTGTACATGAAATGTAAATAAAATAATTTTACCTTGACGTTCTGCTGACTCATTATGTCTTTCTTTATATATTGTTATGTACCTTTACATATACTAATGAAAACAATAGTGGATATATTGTGAATTATGTATAGAGTATTACATGCGGGGTTTCATGAACTATTATCTATATAATAAACATGCCCGTCGATCTTTCGAAGGGTCTATATTAAAACAAGTAAGAAAGCTCTAGTCGAGACTGCTCAACTACGAGATCCCCTGAACCCT